TAATGCAGCATGACTACACAAAGGCAGCCCTAAGCCTCCAAGTTTCAACAGAGCTTCACAGCTTTATAAAAAGATTTTGTATGAAATTCTGCAAGAGAGATGACCAAAGATGCAGCATAAATTATTGAGAGAGATTTTCAAAGCTACCAGTTGATCTATTTTTTTTTTTTTTGAAACAGAGTCTTGCAGTCTTTTTTTTTTTTTTTTTTTTTTTGAGACAGCCCAGGCTGGAGTGCAGTGACATGATCCCAGCTCACTGCAGCCTCTGTCTCCCAGATTCCAGCAATTATCCTGCCTCACCCTCCTAGGTAGCTGAGATTACAGGCTCACGCCACCATGCCTGTAATCCCAGCACTTTGGGAGGCTGAGGCAAGTGGATCACCTGAGGTCAGTTTGAGACCAGCCTGGCCAACATGATGAAATCCCGCCTCTACTAAAAATACAAAATTTAGCCAGTTGATCTATTTTTAATTTAACCCTACTTTTACTATTACTACTTTGCAGTAATAGTAATGTATTACTTTTTTCTTTTATTCTTCTAAAATATTTTTGTTATAAAAAGTAAAATATACATAAGCAGTTTAATAATAATTTAAAATAAGCAACCTCAGACTCTGACGTGTATATAATAGTATCTCATTGCTGTTTAAATTACACCTCCTAATAATGTTCATCTATATTCTTTTGCTTACTGGGTATTTGGAAATCCTCTTTTGTGAAAGAACCGTTTAACTGTTTTTCCTACTTTAAATTTGTTATGTTAAATTTTATTGTTTGTTTGTAGTACTTCTTTTCATATTCTACACGTACCTCCATCATACACATGTACCATATTTATCTTCACTCAATCTTCAGTTTGCTTTGTCAATGTCTTGATGTTACAGTCTGTCAATGAACAGAAATAACTTAATTTTTATTTTATTCAGTCCAATTAATTAATCTCCTGTTTTAAAAAATAACCCACGAAAGAGTAGATAATAACAATTGTTCATCAGGGTTTATTAAAGCAAAAACCACTATAACACTTTCAATATACATTATTCATACTGCAACATACACACATATACACATAATCAAAGAGGTATGCATACATTGTTATATATGGGGATATACATTTTATATATATAAATATACAATTTGTATATTTATATACAAGTCATATCATATTTCAAGGAACTCTTAAATATACACATACATACATGTATAAATTCTTAGATATAACTGTGAATAAATTTTCTAATCAAAAGATAAAAACTAAAAGCTTTAAATTCTACACTTATCAGCAAGGAAAGTCAATGTTTTAAAAAACTGATTGATTATTCTAAATATCCTTAGGTTGTATCTGTTTTACTTAGTAAGTTGAGCCGAGTGCAGTGGCTCATGCCTGTAATCCCGGCACTTTGGGAGGTGAGTGTATATCTTGAGTCCAGGAGTTCGAGACCAGCCTGGGCAATGTGGCAAAACTCTGTCTCTACTAAAAACACAAAAAATTAGCTGTATGTGATGGCACATGCCTGCAATCCCAGCTACTTGAGAGGCTAAGGTGGGAGAATCACAGGAGCCCAGAAATCAAGGCTGCAGTGAGCTGTGTTTGCACCACTGCACTCCAGCCTGGGCAATGGGAGTGAGACCCTCTCCCAAAAATAAATAATAGCCACTGCCCTCCAGCCTGGGCAACACAGAGAGACCTGGTCTCTAAAAAAAAGGAAAATAAATAAAAATTAAAATAAAAGAAAAAAATAGGGTACTAGTTTGAAAAGTATGCAATGATGTTAATTACTGTGAAATTTTATTTCATTTATTATTAGTGACAATAAAATATTTACTATGGAAAAGTTCTTATAAAACTCAGCAGGCAAAGCTAGATACAACTGTGCAGAGTGGATGACTGTGACAGTCAAAATGCAGAATGTTACAAATACATTGGCAGGGGACAGTAGGATAATCTTTTGCCAAGACAGTCTAGTTTGAATGAAAACGTTATACCTCATTGTAAATAAATAAATACAAATTTTCATTTACACTACAGTCTGTTACTACTTATGACTCTAATAAACGATTAAACCAATGCTTCCCTAAATACCCCTAGTCTGACCAATCAAACTGTAACAGGTTCCTGTGTCACCATCAAAACGGATCCGTCAAAGGAAATCTAGCTCAATAAACTTTATGCAAATAAATGTTTGTGAGCTCGTGAACTTTTTCTTTTTACTATTTGATCAAAAAGTGATTGTTCGCAACAAATTTGCCTGGAGGTGATTTTACCTGAAAAGTCCCAGAGACACTAGGCCTTAGGGTGACAGTTGTAAACTGTTTCTTTCCTGCTTGGGGAACCAGCCAAACACCACTTTCAACTCCCACTAGATTCTAAGGATTTGGATTTAATGATTATAGGCCATTGCATCAACCTACATGTTCCAAAGGCCACACCTAGGAGATCCCCATTGGTCCTTATGACAGTCAATGTTATTAAAGTTCTTTCTTACTAAATCTGACTTTATATTGTGACTATCGAGCATAAAAGCTGTTATCCTATCCAACAAAGGCAATCATCTGAATGAGCAGCCTTAATATAGCTGCTCTGCAGATTGGTTAAACCAAACTATGCTGCGTATAAATGAGACATTGGTTTCAGAAACAGAAAAACTAAAAGGTGTTTTAGAACCTTTCAGAAAAAGACCTGCCCTACGGGTACTTAACCTCACTAAAGCATTTTATCATCAATAGGATTTTATAAACTCAACCATGATACAAGATTTAAAAAGTAATCTTCTCCAGTTCAGTGTTATTTTTAGCAGATGCATCTAAATAAAAATCCCGCAGCCAAGTTGAAGAGAAGATTGCCTTGCTGGACAGGATGTACAGGTAATCTGTATTTGGGGTATGGAAAGAATTTGGAGGCTGAGTTTCTATATAAAGATTTAATTAGTAAAGATTCAGATGCCCCCCTTGGCTGGGCTTCAAACTCTTCAGGAATAGCCAGGACCAGGAAACTGACAGGGCCATGATGAGTCCAACCCAAGATCAGACTAGGATGTAAGGCCAAAGCTGGGAGTTATGGGTAAACAATTCAGTGTTCAAGGAAATAGAGCATTGCTGTAATCCATACCTGAAGACTCATGAAATACATACTTGAGGGCCATGAGGGAGAATATATTCTGGCCGTAAGAGAGAAATCTGGGATATGAGGACTGGGGACTACGTCTCAGGTTGAAAGTCACAACGCTAATCTAAATATCTGTACAAGAGAAACAGAAGAATGAATGTTCCAACCTGGTTTTAAACAGCCTTCAGAGTATGATCAGAGAATAGTGGGTCAGGAAAGGTAAGGATTACCGGCAGACGCTAGATGCTCAAAATCTAACATTGCAGTCCTACCGATTAATTCCCAACTTTTTTCCTATTGTCTGAGAGAGTGGTCCAGAATATGCAGATGTGCACAGAATCCTGGCTGTTACTACAGCCTATATACCCACTCAAGTATTCTCGTACCACAGCCGGGCGCGGTGGCTCACGCCTATAATCCCAGCACGTTGGGAGGCCAAGAAGGGTGGATCACGAGGTCAAGAGATCGAGACCATCCTGGTCAACAAGGTGAAACACCATCTCTACTAAAAATACAAAAATTAGCTGGGCATGGTGGCGCACGCCTGTAGTCCCAGCTACTCGAGAGGCTGAGGCAGAAGAATTGCTTGAACCCAGAAGGCGGAGGTTGCAGTGAGCCAAGGTCAAGCCATTGCACTCCAGCCTGGGTAACAAGAGTGAAACTCCGTCTCAAAACAAAAAACAAAACAAAAAAAGTATTCTCGTATCACGAAATCCTTTCAAGTCTTCCTCTTGCTTACTTGTCCAGAGATTCCAGGCATTCCTGAGATACACATCTTCCCTAGCAATTCTATCGGAGATCCCCCTAGTGTCTACATGGGTCCTAACCAGCTTCTCTCCCACTTGTCATGTCTGGTATCTAGTAGCAATACCTATCAGGAGGAATTACATGCCCTCCTTTCTGAGAGACATTATCCACAGTAACTGCAAAGTGGTTTACCCTTTAAAAGAAAAAAAAAAAACAGCCTCCACTCCAAAATAATTCCACACCTCCTATTTTTCTTCTAATTGAGGTAACGAGAAGGAGTGGGCTTCTACCAGTAATGATTTCAGTATGATTTTCTTGCACCTCTCTTAATAAAGGCACAAAGTAAGAATAACAACAGCAGCATTAGCAGAAACAATTTTGATTTTTGATAGTGCTTCACCCTATCGGAGAATTTATCTGAGTTTCGTCTAGACTTACAACTTTAAGACATAATTTTAATAATAACAAATGTCAATGAACAGTTAAGAGTAGGTAGTTTGAAGCACTTTATATATAATATATTTATTCCTTAAAACCTTACGTAGTACTATTATATGCATTTTATATACTAGGAAATTGAAGTACAGGAGCTTTATGTATCTTGTACAAGTCATACAGCTAATCAATAGCACAGCTGGAATGTGAATGTTGTCTGACACGGGAGTCCACTTAGTCACTGATCTGTGTGGCACAATCATACTGTGAGCATCAGCTTTTCAGAACTATCCACGTTTTAGTGAACATGACTTGATTTTTCCTCGGTCCTGAGCTTTTGAACACAATGTTCATGCCAATTAATTGTCTCTTGGATATTCATTTTCCTAGGACAATCATATGCTTTCTTTAAAACTTTGTCCAAATTTCTTCAATGTATTATCATTACTGACCCTGTATAAATTAAAATTTGAGTTCTCTGCACATTAATTACACTGTTGCAATTTCTTGTTTTCATCAGCTCTACCTCAGGCAGAAAATATCCATGTTCTTCTGTGAACCATTTAAAGAGCAAAGACTACACCTCAATCATCTTTATGTTCCATGTGACTGATAAAGAAAAGAGAATTGGTACCATGAGAAAGCTGTCTGGAGTATACTTGACTTGGCTGCTATGATTTTCCGTATTATTTCAAGGAAGTAGTCTTTGTAAATGGCCTTGGGGAACCACAGTACCATCACCGAGTTCCTCCTCCTCGGGCTGTCTGCCTATCCCCACGTCCAGGCTCTGCTCTTTGTGCTGCTCCTGGGGATTTACCTCCTGACCATAATCAGGAACCTGACGCTGCTGCTGGTGATCAGGGCTGATTCTCGTCTCCATACACCTATGTATTTCTTCCTGAGTCACCTCACTTTTGTTGATCTTTGCTTCTCTTCGACCATTGAGCCCAAGATGCTGGAGAAGCTCCCGTCACAGAGGAAAATCATTTCAGTAGAGGGCTGCCTGGCCCAGGTCTTCTTCGTGTTTGTCACTGCAGGGACCGAGGCCTGCCTTCTCTCAGGGATGGCTTATGACCGCTATGCTGCCATCTGCTGCCCACTGCTTTATGGACAGATCATGGGTAAACAGCTGTGTATGCACCTTGTGTGGGGCTCGTGTGGACTGGGCTTTCTGGATGCACTCATCAATGTCCTTTTAGCTGTAAACATGGTCTTTTGTGAAGCCAAAATCATTCACCACTAGCTGTGAGATGCCGTCTCCTCTCTCTGTCATGCTCTGATGTCTCCAGAAACCTCATCGCCTTGCTCTGCTCCACTCTCCTGCATGGGCTGGGAACCTTCCTTTTGGTCTTCTTGTCCTACACCCGCATTATCTCTAACATCCTAAGCATCAGCTCTACCTCAGGCAGAAGCAAGGCCTTCTCCACCTGCTCTGCCCATCTCCCTGCAGTGACCCTCTACTATGCCTCAGGTTTGCTCCGCCATCTCATGCCAGATTCAGGTTCCCCATGGAGCTGATCTCCTCTCCATGGGAGGGCAGTATAACTGTAGTCACTCCCATGCTGAATCCCCTCATCTACAGCCTGAAAAATAAGGAAGTGAAGGTAGCTCTGGAAAGAAGTTTGGAAAAATATTTGCAATATACTGAATGTTGAATTAAAAAACAAGCATCGTTAGCCCAGGAACTCAGCTCAGGAGTTCAAGACTAGCCTGGCCAACATGGTGAAACCCTGTCTCAAAAAAAAAAAATTAAAAATTATCTGGACATGGTGGTATGCACCTGTAATCCCAGCTACTCAGGAGGCCGAGAATGGAGAATCGCTTGAAGCCAGGAGGCAGAGGTTGCGGTGAGCCAAGATCACGCCGTTGCACTCCAACCTGGGCAACAAGAGCGAAACTCCATCTCAAAAAAAAAAAAAGAAGTCCATGAGAGAATAGCACAAAGTTATTACAGAGAGGACAGTTAACTTTAATCCCTCTTAGAGGCAAAGCAAATTATTAAATTATCATCTTAATAAAGTTTGGTTATGAACATATTGATTCATTTTTCTCATTCTAAAACATTCACCTTGGGCTTTGCATTTAGTAAAATCAGTGTCACGAATCTATCATTATTTTTAATTTACTTTGGTGAATACACTAAAAGCCATGCATTGAATAAGAACACAGTGCCATGGATCTGTGGGAGAGAAAGTTATAGATAAGAGTTGATGGGAAGAAAGAGAAAGATTTCCAACTTGTGGCCACAGAAGACATAAACAGCTTAAAGAACTGCAGATGGAATCAACATACTGAGGCAGAACTCAGACTCAGATAAAATTCCCAAGAACTTCACTATGTTTGCAGCTTGGTGGCCAGAACTCTGGTACAAAAGGTTTCAAGGAGGCTCTGTGGCTCTAGAAACGTCATGTCTCACATGGTCTTCATTCGCTGTATAAGGAATTTATATTTATCCAATCAGCTGATCCCATCAGTGTGTCTTTTCCTTTTAGAGTGGAGGCTAAAATTCACCAAACAATGGGGGTAGAAGATGGAGAAGACCTTGCTTTTGCAGTTAGATGAGCTCAATACCCTATTGCTGATTCCTGAACTGAGCAAGAAGCATTTCCTGACATAGCTTTACAGACAGGGGGCAACTGGAACCCATCCTGGGTTCTCTCTGGGCACCTTGTGTGAGACAGCCTTTGGCTGGGACTTTTATCCTTACTTTATGTTACTGCTGTGTTGTATCCTTTTCCAGAAGTAACCATAGATTGGTAAGCATCATTATTTTGGGTCCTGTGAGGGACCAAAAGTGTTTTTGGACTTTGCAATTAAAGGAAAATTAAATTAAGTGTTTTGGATTTAGCCACGAAACTCTGCCTAACTGCTGCCATTAGTTCAGCCAGTCAGCATCATATATGGGATTAGAAATCTGTCTCCCCAACTCATTTTTAACTAAAACTACAACTAAGACATTATTTATATAGAAAAGGTGTGGTTCTGATGAAGGGGATGAAAATGTATCATTGATGGCATGTGCTTGCCTAGTCGCCCTTAGTTTGAAGTAGCACATGCTTTGAAATCACTTGCTGATAATAAAACTTCCCAGTGGAATCTGAAAATTATAAAACTGAAACCTCAGGAGCTAGTAAAATTGATTGGCAGGAAATTTCAATCCAGTAGCAGGTCCACTAAAATTCAGTTCCACAGTGTCTGCATTCACCTTAGCAAAGAGAAAAGGAAGCCCAAAGATCTTCTTTGGTTGAGCTTTACTCTCTCTGGCCAGGAGATGGCGCTCCAACCAAAGGAACCTGGGCAACCACGACGACACCTGGCCATACCAATGAGACTAATTACTACTAAAAAGACATTTAGGTAAGTTGAAATGTATTTCTACTACGTAGGCAATTTTAATTTTGATGTAGTTAAACTGTTCTGTAATTAATGGGCCACTGAAAAATACCTTCTTGTAAATTGTTGGAATTTTCTTATTGGCCTTACGTGGCAGGTTTTTATTATTCTTCACCCATTATATATATATGCCACCTTTTTACGGCAAAACTTAACTTTTTGGTTGTAAAGATGTTTATTATATGTTTTTTTCTAATAAAGAGTTGTTATCGGCCAGGCATGGTGGCTCAAGCCTGTAATCCCAACATTTTGGAAGGCCAAGGCGGGTGAATCATGACATCAAGAGATCAAGATCATCCTGGCCAACATGGTGAAACCCCGTCCCTACTAAAAATACAAACAAAATTAGCTAGACGTGGTGGTGTGAGCCTGTAGTCTCAGCTACTCGGGAGGCTGAGGCAGGAGGATCACTTGAACCCAGGATATGGAGGTTGCAATGAGCCGAGATCGCACCACTGCACTGCAGACTGGCGCAGAGCAAAACTCTGTCTCAAAAAAAAAAAAAAAAGAGTCTTTATCGATTTGCAAAAAAAAAAGAAAAGACATTTCAAGTGGGGCAAGCTGACTGATAATGGAGGGAGGCCAAAAAGAAGCATGAAAGTAGGGGTTTGTTCAGTGAGATAAGTGAGACATTTTGTAGTGTTAAAAGCAGCTTCCCTTTGAGTCCTTGCTGAAATGGCTCCTGAGAGTTTTAGATCAAGGTGCAGTGTTCCTGTCCTGGAACACTGCTGAATAAGAAAGAATGATTGCCAGCTCCTGAGGGAATATTTGGGCTTTCCCTGGATCTTCAGCTGGCTTCTGCCTTTGCAGGGACGGTTCATGGGGCAGCCACTAGTTCACTGGACTGGATCAAGGGAAGAACATGTCATACATGCTCAGGTATGTCTGAGCTCCTGGTTCTGATTTGTTTTACATACACGTTGGTGGTTTGTGATCAAGAGAGAGAGCACATGCTGGTATGACCCTGTAAGGGGAAGACCTGGAGCTCCCTCAGGACTCTTTGCTGGGAGGCAGCCTTTAGCTGTGATGCATATCCTTACTTTAATGCTGTTGCTGCATTTGTATCATTTTTCCTGCAAATTATAGATTTGCATCTAATGTCATTTTGGGTCTTTGGAGTCTTCTTTATCAATGGAATCTTTTCTACCTGTCATCATATCATTAGTCCAAAAATCTCGCCCTCAGAAGTCTGCAGTTTAGTAGCGGCTGAGCAGCAAGTGTGGGATCAACAAGTAGGCCCAGAAAGCTGTCAGGGAGGGTTTCTCATGAGCCAAGGGGAGAAATGATAGGTTGATCATTCAGACTGCAATGAAGTCTAAATGAGCTAGTATTATTTGCCCTAAGCCCATAACCAAATAGCTTACTGGGGGCTTTGAGAAAGGGGACATTAGAAGATATCTGGGTTTGAGAAAATTTTATCTGGAAGACAAATAAATCATAAGTACTCAAGGACTTGAATGAAGTCTCATAAAACTTAGAAGTGAAAATAATAGATTTTTCTATTAAATAATACAATTAGCATTTAATGGATTAGGCTAATGATATGCAAAATCAACTGAAGATACTGCATGATTGACCATTAATATATCTAATATTTTCTATCATGAACATGAACATGTCCCACCATACTCTCTAATCCCAAATCCAAACTTTGGGACTTTCCTGAGCTAAGCTGCAGCTAGAGCAATCAGGGAGGTGGGAGTGGTACAGCCCCAGGCCCCATGAGCGTCCCTTCCACAGCAGCAGCAGCCGCAGCATCATGTGTGAGCCTTTCTCTCCAGGTGCTGAACATGGATGCTCTGGGAACATTAGCACTCAGGTGATGGACATATAGGTGAAAGGTTGTATTGTCCCATGTAAATGTACCTCTCTAGCTGACTCCCAAGCATCTAAGGAAGAACTAAAACAGAGAAAGTTTCCCTATGTTAAGGACGGGAAAGCAGAAAAAGACTGGAGTGCAGAAGTGGGTGCCTGGAAGTGGGACTGCACCTTGCCTGCTGCTACACTACAGGCAGAGATTCTGGGGTGGAGATTCCCTTCTCTTGTGAGACTGTTAACATTCAAAGAACTGAAATAGCCAGTCTTTTGCCACAATGACAAACAAAAACAATAGTACAAAGAGGCAATGAGAGAGAAACATCAAGATGGATAATCAGAACAACCCCATTTAAAATGCTGAAGGAGACAGACATGGACCAAAACAACTACTGTGTATATATATATATATACACACACACACACACACACACATATAGAAATGGAGTTTCAAAAGTTCCATTTAAGGCAGGAGAATCCCTTAAGCCTGGGAGATGGAGGATGCAGTGAGCCAAGATCATGCCACTGAACTCCAGGCTGGATGACAGAGCGAGACTCTGTCTCAAAAAAAAAAAGTAGAGGGCTGGAATGATGTCACTCCCACTCTTATTTAAATTTTTTTTAAAATGCTGAACAAACTGAAAATCAGCAAGTTTTCTTGGACCACAGGAGTACTGAGGTCACGGGGCAGATGGCCATAAAGAAATCAACGTGGAGAGCCAAGTTCCCACAAGGTGACGAAGAACCTGAGCATTTGCTTACCTAGAACGGAAACTACTGGGTGTCAGATAAATGAGTAGGAAGACTAAATTGGAAATTTTGACAAATTGCTGGTTACTGAGTGTATGATAATGTGAGACTTTGAAGTACCTGAGGGTCACAATCATAGAGGGGTTCCCAATTTTTTGCAGCCTTTTCCTCCAGGAGCCCCATGTGGCTCTCAAGAAAAGCTCTCCCCATAGTCCTGCCTGGGGTAGGGGAAGAGCAGCCACTGTTAAATCCTCCCAGACCCAATTCTCTTATCTCCCCTACAAAACAAAAGGCTAAACCAGAAGCAGGGAATTTATCAAAACCCCTAGTCTGAGGGTACTGGTGCAATCCCACTGTAGCCAGGAAAACAGATTGAAAATCTTACCCTGAAGAAACTGGTGAATATGTAAAGGCAAAGGTACTAGGACAGCCCAAACAATTCTGAGAAAAAAGAACAAAATTGGAAGATTGACATCCAGTTCCAAGAATTGCTACGCAGTTATGATAATCAAGACTGCTGTGCCACATACGCACAATGGAGTCTATTCACCCATTAAAAGGAGTGTAATCCAGTCATTTGCAACAGCACGGATGGAACTGGAAATTATTATGTAAAGCGAAATAAGCCAGGCACAGAAAAATAAACATTGCATGTTCTCATTTATTTGTGGGATCTAAAAAT